CAAAGCAGGCTCCAGGCTCTGCGCTGTCAGCGCGGAGCCTGACGCGGGGCCCGAGCTCACGAACCGTGAGATCATGACCTGAGCCGAAGTCAGGCGCTTAACCAACTGAGCCACCCAGGCGCCCCTATACAATTTTCTAAAAATTTTCTGCAATGGCCAAGAGACCCCAGACTTAAAGCTCATGGGCCAGGGGTTCCTGAATGTGAGGGACCGTGGATTACCTCATTACCTCCAGGGAGTCTGGGTTCCCACAGTGGGCAATGCTAGAGCTTGTCCTTCACGGAGTCTGTTCCCTTCCCCCCACCACCCCCCCTCCCGGGGCCATCAGTGGGACCAGGAGCCCCCAGCTCGCTTGGCACCGTTACCTCCTGGGCCTCATTGTCTTCATGTGGGCCTTGTCCTCCCGGCCTGAAGTTTCTGAGGCTTTGTGGTGGAGCCTGCGTTCCCCCAAGTCCCAGGGAAGGGAAAGAGAGGCAGTGCTTCATGAAAATTAAGTGGTAAGCAAAGGAATGCGGTGCTGGTGGTGAGACCCACAACGCTGAGCTACTGCCCAGCTATGCAGAAAAACCTGCCAGCAGGGTATCGCCCCAGTGCTCCTCCCTGGCTCTCACCCCCTGACCTGCCCCGCCCAAGCCCACACCTCCCGCCTCATCCCAGAGCCCGGGCAATCTGAGACCGTGCATCCTTTCGACTCCTCCTTTGCCTTTCACATGGGGTCATCTCCAGGGCGGTGTCTGTCTTCAGAACCTCTCCATGCATGAAGTTCACCTGCTCTGCCCATCAGGGGCCTCAGGTCCCACCTGCTCTATTTGGGTGGACGGATTCATCCTCCCCAAAGAACAGGTGATTCTCCTGTCTCTCCCATTCAAAAGTCTTGACCTTTGAAGCCAGCCTCCATCATCTAGCACAGGGTTTTCTTTCTTGCTTTGTAAATATAATTTTTTTTTTAATTAGTTTAAACATTCAACACCCTGTCAAGTAGTTCTCCTGGGAGCCTGGGGCACTGGTTGGTTTATTGGGTCTCGTTCCAGAAACATTCTGTGCATCTGCAAACAAATGCACATACACGCACACATACATTTTCTTCTTTTTCTACAAAAATCATAGCACACTGGGCGCGCTGGTCTGTGCCTTTTATGGTACTTAGAACTTGTTCCCTTTGGCATACAAAGATTTTTTCATTCTGTTTGAAAGCTGCTGAGTGTTCCACTGTGCAAGCATAATCGCTTTGATTGGTCCTCTCTGGATGCACATTTAAGATGTATCTTATCTTTTCCATAACCAGCAAGGCCCCAATAAACAACTTTGTACTTTCACCATTTTGTTCCTGTGCATTATTTATAGGACAGACTCGAAAAAGTGAAATGATTGGATCAAACAATATGTGTATTTAATGTTTCGGTTGATACTGTCAAAATAATACAGCAGTTGATGGCACTGTTACTTAACCTGGAGATGACAACGGATTTCAACCTGGGAGCCGCAGGTGGGCTTTGAGGGTCTGCGAGTCCCCAGATTTGTAGACAAAAGTCGTGCGTGTACATAGGTAACATTTTTCTAAATGACCGAAACTTCCATCGACTCCTCAGAAGGATGTGTGTCCCCTAAATGTTCTCTCACTCACCCAGCTGGTGGTTCTCCCGGCTCCCCCAGAAGTGAACTTCCCTTCCCTCAGCAAGACTGGCCCTGAACATTCCCTCCTCTGGCTCCTTGTCGGGGAACATTCCCTCCGGTCTTCTGTGCCATTCCAAATGGTTATGGCTAACATGGCCAACAGTGGTTACCGCACGCTCACCGTGTGCTGGGGAGACTTAGCTAGTTCTCACGAGAATCCGATGAGAAAGGCGATCCCCACCTCCTCTGTTTGATGGACAAGTGCATGAAAGTACAGATGAGTCAAATAACCTGCCGAGCAGGCAGAGCTTGAATTGGAACCCAGGAGGAAGGATGCTGCGTCCATAAACAGGGTGGGTCAGCCGGGAAACAAAGAGAGAGGCTCCCAGGGTTCTCAGGTCCTAACTGCACCGCCTGGGGAACTTTTCACAATGGGCTCAGTCAGAATCTCTGGGGCAGGACCTAGACCCTGGGGATTTCTCAGAGTCCCCAGATGGACTTTCAAAGACCCCAGGAGTAACAGGACTCGGAGGGGAAGCCCCAGGCATCCACGTATTTTAGAATCTCCTTACCTCTACACCATACTTTTTGTTCCTTCTTTTCCTTTTTTAAGCAGCAACCACAATAATAAACATCGGGGGGGTGGGTGGGTATAACGATGGGCACAGCTGCCTTCCGAAATAATAAGCACCCTCCCCCCCAAAATGACCCCAAAAGGGGGCTTTTCTGAAAGTATTTTTTCAACTCACGGACTTCAATTTAGTTGCTGTATTTCAACCCACAGCCGTTATCCTTATCTGAAGCTCAGATTGTCCTACCAAATTGTCAACAAGACCCTTCTGAATCCTCCTGACCTAACCCCAGGTGCCTTTGAAAGTTTTCTCACTCTGTGGTGTGATGAGATGCTCGGAGCCCAACTTCTCCGCCTCCGCAGGCTTGGAATCTCAGCTTTTCTCCCAGGCGCCAATCCGGGTGAGGCTACTCGGTTTCTGTATTCTAGTTCTTTCACCAGCTCTCTGCACGCGAAGGAGCTATTCTCCATGCTTGAAGGAGGAATAAGCAACCAAACTTGTTGTTAAACTCCATCCTACGCTAAAAGCTCTCTTCAGATTTCGGTTCAGCCTTTGCAGAATGCATAGACGAGTAATCTGTGTCCGTTCGTAAGAAACAGACTCTGAACAAAGTCGTGCTTGAAAGCCACTCGATCACAATATCTTACTATGATAAAATATTCTTCCACTTTGAGGGCCAGCCCCAGACATCTAAAAATATCTCCTGCTCTTGGGAAAATGCAAACTGAAGGTTCAAATAAGAGAGCAGTTTAGCCTGCCAAGAAAATTTGGAAAGCTAAATATAGATTAAAAAAAAAAAAAAAAA